GGCCCCCCTGCACCCCAAGGGCCCCTGGGCAGCGGCCCCGCTGGCCCGGTCCGTAATCCGTCCCTGACTCAACCCGTACAAGAAGTCAAACCATAGATGCTTAATTTAAAATTCACTGGCACATCCAATCAGATTTGTGTAATAGGCATTGACTGGCGTAAATTGCAGAGTGCACTGGGTGCTTAACCATAGCGTAAGTTTAAATCTATACTTGATACAGGGTCGCAACTGATACGATACGATAATTATAAGAACTCTTATCTTATAATTCATGAGTCATTATATTCAATAATAATTAATAATTTCTTTATTTTGAGGCTCTATTTATGCTTAAAATTCCCTTAGGGTCCCCCTTAAACAGAAGATGAATAGGATGACAAATTGAATGGACTGCAAACTGAAATCTAATTTATTAAATAGATGGTGCAATTTTTTCTGTTGTGGGGCATAACAATCATAATACGCCGGCAGTACAGTTTATTGCTGGGTTTTTCTCTCTGATTGCCTCGCTGCTCGTTACAGGGGGCGGGTTTATCATTGCTGGTAGAGTTGCCACCTGCCTGGTATTGAAGAATAAAATGTTGTGCTCCGTTTTGAACCAACGCGGGACTCGACTGAAAGTTGCAACACTAATCGCTGGTGTCTGTGACTGTAGGCGCGTGCATTCTGTATGTTCTACTGGATGGCAAAGTTTCAAGTGGTGCAGTAAATTCAATTTTAGTCAGCACCAGCCTGTTGCGTGTCGTAAACTTCTTTAAATTGACAAAATGCTACCGCACCACCGACGTCTTTTTACCCTGCTTATCCACAATATCTCCCTTTTAAAATGATGTCACGGCGGCTGCGCTTTTTTTCACCAACACCGAAGTTTGCTCTGAGGGAGGCTTTTCTCTCCCATCACTCAGGAATATTTTTAGAATAGTAGCTAGTATGTGGAGCGCTAGCTCAACAAACCTCGCTGTGTGGTTGTTGTGTAAAGGTGAATGGAAGACAGGTCAGGTTATTTTAGTCAGCTCCAAAAACACTGCAGCTAGCATTCTCTGTGGAGTATTGCAGTGTGGTTTTCTCATGGGCTGAATTTTACTGTGGACTTTTCTGTTGGATTTCGATGGATTACCCTTATTGAACGGGCTGCTTTGCACTTACCTGCTCTCCCGTTGACTCGCCCTGTTGTTTTGATTGTGTTGTCTTTCGTCTTCCTGCCTGCCATATCGCATTCTCTTTTTTTTTTGCTTAATTAGTCTCCTATTTGTAGTTTTTATGCTGTCTGCTCTTGTGCTCCTTTGCCGTCCAGACAGTCAAAGAGGACGGGAAGTAATTTCATCGTGACGAAAAATGTGTCGGCAGGTATCAATTCGAACATTTATTGAATATTTGGCACATTGATATTGAGGGGGAAATCATACCGCGATAATTACCATTACCATTTTATCGCCCAGTCCTAACTGGCATGGTAAAAAATTTGGCCGCAGTGGAAAAAAGGTTGGGAAGCACTGGTGTAGACAATGTTGATATTTGCTATAAAGGGAAAAACATGGACACTATTGAAAGGACACTTCATTAACTATAAATAAAATGCACAGTTAGTCAGTTATTAATGGTTTCCACTTCTCCAAGAAAAAAATAATCTGTACACACTTTTTTTCAGTAGCTGCTCCCACGTTTTTGAATAGACTACTGTTTTGCATTAGGTAAAACCCTTTTAAAGACTAATTTTTACACTCTAGGCTTTGAAACACCCTGATACTATGTCACTGAAAACCTGTCTGTATTTATTTTATTTTATTTTAATTTTTTTTTTTTCATCCTGTGTATCTGCCTTTATGCATTGTATAGCACTTGCAAGTGTTGCTTTTAAATGTGCTCTATAAATAAATTTGACGACATAATGATACGGAGTTGTATCTAGATGGAACTCCAATTAAGGTAGTGACAGGATAAATCTTGTGGTCTTATTTTTGGTTTTTCATTGCATGTGTGATAAATTTGAAGAAGAAGAAATGTGCAAAAGATATTTTTAAAAGTTTTAGCAAAAGCAAAATGAGGCACAGACTGCTCAGTAATTTTACAGCTGTATTGCATGCTGGTTAGGTCTAGACTAGGTTATGGAAGCATTATTCTTGGCTCAGTAAGAAAGTTGTATGAGAATCTGCTAGACACTCCATTACCAAGGTATACAGCTTGCTGTGGGGGCTTCTTGTACTTCCCCCATCCAAAGCTTGCATGCAGAAGCTGATGAGCTCTCACTCATAATTAGACATTTGAAATTGCCCCTGTCTTATGCAGCTAAACTCAAGACAAACCCTCAGAATACAGCAAACCCTGTCATTTTCCATCCATAGTTGTAATATCTGTATGAAAGTAGACCAAAGTACATTCATCCATTTTCACTAAGAATCTAACCTCACTTTGAAAAACTAAATATTGACCTTTATATTCTACACCTGTCTTCATTTCTGCAGTATCCCTCTCTGGAAGCTACAGAAACTGAATTTCATCGTGAACTTGACTAGAATTTTTTTTTTTCTTTTTATTATGACAGAAACTTGTTTCTTGCTGTTGCCTTTGGACTCTGTTGAGAATAAACAGCAGGAGGGTTATTTGATTTTAACTGACTCCAAGTCTTGTTTGCAACCTCGGTGAGGTCTAAAGATCGTCCGGTGATTGTAAAAGTTTTGGCAGTCCTGGATGCATAGCAGTACGATATACGTTTGTGTTTGGTGCCAGGTCATTGTGTTGTGCTGGGGAAGGAGCAAGCAGATACCACTGCTATGAAAGCTGTAAACTCAGATATACAACAGTTTTACATGCCTCCTTTAGATCACAAGCCTATACTTTTGTCTCATGGAAATATGGCAAGCGGAATGTGATGAAACTATTAATTACAACATGTACAAAATCAGTCCAATTCTTAGAGAGATGATGAAAGTTCACTTTAAAAATCACTGGGACCAGGTCATCTACAAAAGGTGCTGCACTGGGCATATGAAACTTTACTTATAGGTGAAAATCCACCTGCATGTTCTACATGTAACGCTACTTTATCTGTTATACATGTTTTATTGTATCGTCCTTCCTTTAACACCCTTAGGTGGAGTTACTGTTTTATTAACTCTTTAAAAGAGGTTTTTAGTAAAGTTCCTCCAGAGGCTTTTTTTTAAAGATTTTATCAAAATCTTAAGCATCTTATTTAGAACTTTTTGGTTCTTCGCTCTGTTTTAATACCCATTTAACACCTCTTACTCATCATGTATATAGCTCTAGTTGCTGGCCTGGCATTAAGAATTAACATAATCTTTTCTCGAGTAAAATCTCTCCAGTCTTATCCCCTGAGAAACACCTAATCTCTGTTGGTTCAGTGTTATGTTCATGATAATCAGTATTATATTTAGTTTAAAGTTGGAAATTGTGTTTTATATTGTCATTTCCAGCAAGGGAAAAGATGTCGGCCTTAAGTGGCAAAGTGCAGACGGTGCTGGGCCTCTTGGACCCAAGTCAACTGGGCCGAACCATGACCCACGAGCACCTGACCATGACCTTTGAGTGCTCCTACTGCCCACCGGGACCAGGCCAAGAGCATCTGGTGAAGATTCCCATAGAGATGAAGAACATGTTCTGGTTGAATCAGAACCCTTACAGCCACAATGAGAACCTGCTGTTAAATCAGGAGCTGGAGGCCGTGAGAGAGGAGCTTGTGGCCTACCGGCAGGCGGGTGGGGGTGCGATTGTGGAGAACACCACCACCGGCATCAGCCGTGACGTCAGGGCACTGCAGAAGCTTGCTAAGGAGACTGGCGTTCATATCATTGCTGGTGCTGGATATTATGTGGATGTCACCCATTCTGATGAGACAAGGAAAATGACTGTGGAAAAGGTATGTTAACGTGTTTGAGTCAGCAATATTTATTTATGGTTTTCATTAGGCCTAACTGAGAAGCCATAATTTCAACTCTGACATGATTTTTGCTAGAGAACGCTGGACCACTGTAGCCATTGTGCTGTTTTGCTATTATGCTGTAGTTTGTAACTACTGCACTAGATGGATTTGTGAATGAATCCAGCGTGCAGCACCATTATGTGCTGTTTCTGCCACAGCTCACGGATGTCATTGTCAGCGAGGTTCTTCGTGGCGCAGACGGTACGGATATCTGCTGTGGTGTGATTGGGGAGATCGGCACGTCCTGGCCTATTACTGATAGCGAGAAGAAGGTCCTGCAGGCCGCAGCCCACGCCCAGACTCAGCTGGGCTGTCCCGTCATCATCCATCCAGGACGCAACTCAAAGGCACCTGAGGCTGTGGTACAAATCCTGCAGGAAGCTGGTGGGGACATCAGCAAAACGGTCATGTCCCACCTGGACAGGTACACCATTAAGCCAAACGCAGTAGAGGAGAGTAAGGCTTAAGTTTAGTGTTTGGCCTGTTTTAAAGTAGGGGAAACACAGTATTTCAATGATTGGGGTAAGTGTACACAGAATCCATGTTTTGTGTAGACTAGTGCTGCACAATGTTAGAAAAGACTCACATTGCAATATTTGACATTTTTTCAATAAAGATTGCGATTATTTGCAAAACAAAGAAGGAGCTGAAAATGTATCCAAAGTAGATGTTAGGCAAATAGAGCTTTTTGTCTACCAGTTGATGATGACTGTAGTAGGAAAGCCAAGTAGTAGTAAAGCTGTAGTAGGAAAGCCACATTCTGGTTAACTCTTAACAACTGCATTCTGAAATTCGTCCGTAAGTGTAGAAGTCTGTACTGGTATGCTGAAAACACCCTCTTTCTTACTTAAGATTTTAAGAACAAATTTTGCAGAACCTGAATTTCAAGAACGTTTTTAACGAAGACCCAGGCAACCTAAATCTACATATATAATTAACAGCAGCAGCATAAACACCTTCTCATATATTTGCTGCCAGCAGACACAAAACAGTGCAGACAAAAGAATCCCTTTGCTTTTTCCTCAATATCATCTCTCTGGAATCCAAGATAATTTCATAAAGCGGCAGATGAATATCTTTTGGTGACCAATCTTTATTTGCTTTTCTCCTCGTAACTCATTTTTGTTGTATTTCTCACAAACATGCCACACTGTCTATGAGTGAGTCTGATCGCAAAGACGTAAACGATTCTGAATGAATAATCATGCAAAAGCAGCCGTGATAAACTTTAGACATTTTAATGGATAATCTTGAAAAGGAACATCATTCAAGTAAAATTTATGTATTAGTTTTCTCCTTAATTTCATTAATATTTAATATTATCCTGATATCCCAGGTTTCTCTTTGTAGACTGTGTACTCTTTAAATTTGTTTGTACTATGGGTACCGTCTTAACCCTTGTCTTTTGACTGAATGTGTTTTGTGTTCTACATGCTCACAACTGTATGCAGTAGACTTTCCCCGTTATTGACTTTTTCAAACGGTAGTCCCCTAGAATCCGTGGTTTTAGTTATCCTCACTTTACGATAGTCCTAAAAAAAATGCCAAATATTTTATTTCTTCATCCTTGGTGGGTATAAAAAGCATGATTTTTATTTCTCCGTCATCCCTTGGCACAGTATTTTCCTTGCTTTATCATAGGCTAAAACGTTGGAATCCCTTTCATTCAAGAGAGTACAGTACTATATAGTAACACTTCATTACTGTATTTAATGTTAGTAATATGTTACTGTGCATATTTTTTCAATTGCTACGTGTAAGTTCACAAAAATCACAATGCACATGGGGTCCGTGGATGGTTCGCTATTCCCAGATTGTTTGCTGTGGTAGGTCTTGGAACATATCACTGGATGCAGGGGGGGTACTTATAGTTATGTTTTCTGGTTATTTGGTTATGTTTAGATATGTTCCCGTATATATCGTATGTATTCTGTGTTTATCAAACCATGCTCATCCCATATTTTCCTATATGTTTTGTTTGGAGGACAATACTTGATTATGGGGAGCTCCTGGAATTTGCCAAGATGGGGAGCTATTTGGAGTATGATCTGTTTGGAACCATAATGCTGAATTACCCCTTTAACCTTCAAGTGGACATGCCGAGTGACTGCCAGAGAATCCAAAGGTCTGTACTCCACCCTTATATTGACTTGATTACAACATATAGCTCTGGAAAAATTTGAGACCAAAACTTGAGCCAAGTATTTCCACCCACTAAAACCTAATTTCCAAAACCTAATTTATTTATTTTTTGTTCTGTGGGTGCTGTCATTGTAATATGGTTTCAATACTTCTCAAAGGGTTATTGAGACATTAATAAGTCCTTCATCTGGTCGCAGTGGTTTCAGAAGAAGTGTCTCTAATGGTACTCTATATTTTGTAAAATCCACAACACTTTAGCCTTTGTGCCCTTGTGAAAAAGGGAGTCATGACTTTAATTGTATTCCCCAGATGGGGAATCCATATGATCTTGGGACCAGTTTGCTGCCACCGCCACAGGCACTTATTATCACAATAACTCAAAAAGTATTTCATGGATTCCCCCCCCAAACTTTGCAGACACATTGTATTAGTGAAGATCTGGAACTGTCCAATTTTTAACATATCACACCAAGATTAAAACAGCAAAGGGTAATTGAAGACACTCATCTTATTATCACAATAACTCAAAAAATATTTCTCAGATCTTTTTCAAACTTCACAGGAACTTTGTATAGGAGATTGTCTGGAACACTTTACCAAACTGAAGCAACACTCCCTAGTCGCACCAATAGGAAGGATGACTGCAGTAGACACTTGACCTTGTGAACGTTAACTCAAAATATTTGATGCGTCTTATTACCACTAAACAAAAACATTATTTGAATGAAGGATAGACCTTCTTTCATTTTGAGATGAATCACACCAAAAGCAGTATCACTTAGTGGTGGCACATGAACACCAACAGATCCAAATTTGGTGAACCTGATTTCATTGAGACAAGTCACACAAAGTTGAGCTGTTAATAATAAAAAAAAAAATGTGTAGAGGGGCTAGAGAGTGTAGAGCAGGGTTATTCAACTCACGGTCTTCGAGGTCCGAGCCCTGCTGGTTTTCCAGCCTTCCTTTACCTGTCAGTCAGGTGTGAAGCCTCTGACCAATCAGAATCAATAATTATTAAACAACTACCTGGGAGAACTGAAAACAAGGCCTGGATTTGGAATCGAGGTCCAGAGTTGAAGAGCCCTGGTGTAGAGGGTGGGAGTCTGGAAGGAATTGGGATAAGATAGTGGGGCGTTGGGACCATCTGGTGAATACATTGTTGTCAGTCTCACAGCATCTAAGTTTTCATGCATTTCTATAAAGCCTGCGAGCAAAAATAATGAATGATCTGACCTTTGCCGACTTTCGTACATAGCACACAAATATGCACAGGTGGTGGAATGAAAATAGTGCAAATCATTCTTTGTCAGTCGCTATGGGCTAATACAAAAGGATGTGGATGAGCTTAAAATATGCTGAAGGCCACAAAGCTCTTTGGTGCTCATAAAGTATGTGGGGAAAATATGGCGAAAAGCGCATTGATGAGGCACCTGTTTCTGTTACATTTTATAAAGTAACTAAAAATTTAATAAAGCTATAGATCATTTTTCAACTATGTGTATGTAAGCATAATCCATAGCAGAGATCACAGGATTTGGATGGGATTTCGTTTATGATTATTATGATGTTTTTGATTTAAAAAAAATAAATAAAATATTTTACTTATTTCGTTTTAGTGTGCAAATAAGCGTCTTTTAGGTATTGTTATCCAAACACATTTACAGACACATTACGTTTGTTTTTACAACTGTTCCAGATTGTTTTCAGTTTTAATAATCCATTTCAGAACATTATTTTCCATGCGGTACTGAAATTGCACCGAACTGTGAACCCTAAATTGAAGTTTGTACGAAACCATGAATTTTGTACTGTAATTCCACTAATGGCTATGAACAGTACTGTGTGTTTTTTTTTCTGCAACATACCAGTATATATTTATAAATATTGTTGTTATATGTTCAAATCATATTGGTTTTATCTCGCTTGAAATCTGACTTTATTTTGTAATTGAATTTTGTCCTTCTTCTAAAATGGGTGTTCCAGTTCATCATCCCATTAGTGTTAGTTTCTGGGCACCTGTAATTGCAGTTTCAGGAGACCCAGAATGAGATTTGTAACAAGTCCCTGAGACAAATGTATTTACTGAATTGCTCACTGTTTACACTGCACTGCTAGTGCACAACAAATGTCTTTGGGGATCATCATCTCTCACCAGCCGTAGTGCTTCAATTTCTCAACTTAGCTATAATTTCTTATCCTTCGTGCCTGGAAAGGTTTAACAGTGACAAGGTAAAAGTAAAACCAGGGTAGTATGAATGTGTACCTTTCTGAAAGGCCTGTTAAGGGAAATAGTTAAACATGATTGGAACTGAAGATTGTTTTTGTCTTTCTGTGTTTCGCACCGTCTTGTTTCCAGCCTGGCCTTTCTTGTGGCAGAAGGCTATGAGGATAGAATCCTGGTTGCTCATGACGTCCACACTAAGAATCGACTCGCCAAGTACGGTGGCCATGGTTACTCCCATATTCTCAACAACATCGTGCCCAAGATGCTAACAAGAGGCTTTACGCAGAACCAGGTGGACAAGATTCTGATTGATAACCCCAAGCAATGGCTGACTTTTAAATGAATGGGCCGAAGAGAAGAGCCCTCCAACTCGGAGATTCAAGAGTGCGAATCCAGCCCACAGCCGTCGAGGTGCAAGGCTATGGCCCTAACCTCTAACACTGTGCTGTCCATGTCTAACGCATTCTGCATATTGATTCAAGATTGCGGCATTTGCCTTTCTGCAGACTGATGAATCTAATTATCCACTCAGGTTTGTCTTAATTACCTGAACCTCTGATTCTTGTTCTGTATGTTTACTTTTGTCCTTATAGCATTATTTAACCACATTTTAAATCATTTAGTGCAATCTTTGAATTGATCTACAAGATGACAGCTTATAACATTGATTTCCTATGGATTTTGTGATTCTTATAAAGTGGTTCTTTGTCAAGTAGTACAATGTATTTTATATCAATTTATAAAAATGATGCAATAAATTTTGCACAGTAGCAATTCGTAGAACCCTTTTAACTGGAGAACATCTTAGGTCTTCATCTTTAAATTTATTCTGTTCTAACAATTAAACCCATGACAGCCATATTGTTTCTTGTTTCTTTTATGCAGGTAAGCCTGTTTCTTACAGATTTCTACAGACTGCCTAAGTGTGGCATACTGTGTGGTAGGATAGTACAGCTTTTGCGATACGAATAGCAGAGATGTCTATGTGACAAATGGAATCTTGAATCTGAAGCAGCTGGATTTGCATCTTATGTTGTTATTGAACTCCTGTGTTATTATAGGATTAATATAATCAGCCATGCCTGGGTTTTTAGAACTGGTAATATCACAAGTAATATTTCAAGAACAACTTATGTGAATGGTTGAATCATTCAAACGCTTACCACTGTTAATCCCCTTTCAAGATAAGGAAATTGCCGACAGCCTTGATTGCCCAGCTACAAATTAGTTCTTAAGATCCTTTCATTTATGGGAGGGAACGGTCTTCACAGGCTATAGTATAAACTTGAAATAAAAAGAACAATTAGCAATTTTTATATTAACTAAGCTAAGCTATTTAAAAGCAGACCATTCCATACTGCAAAATAAAACGTTGTCCTGTATTGATTGGCATAAATACATGATTTGTCCCATTCTTTGGTACACATTTGTATGGGGTCCCTAGGGGCACATGGGTGGCGTAAAAAAATTAAGATAGATAATCAGTCCTTTTGTGAGATTTTGCGGTCCTTTTGTTTCTATAAGAATATACACAAATTACCAGGTAAAAACATTGACATTTTAACGTTAGAATTGATTCTCAAAATGAAAACATTCAGATCAAAACAATCTATTTCGGTATCGACCTACACATCCCTAATCCATATACTTCTTCAAGTTAATTAACATGTTTTAAAATATATCTCACAAAAGGTTCCTTCATTTTTTTTCTCCTCTTATGCCCCCCCCCCCCCAGCTCAAACCAATCATGTTAGCGTTACCTGTTTGCATCAAAAAATACATTTAATAAATTCACAAGTAAACGTCCAACACAGAAAACTAACAGAATATAGCAATAGAATAGAACAAATATTTTTTAATTAAACTATTGTATATTTTTGGAGATACTGCCCACCCTGGTTGGGCTATAGAATGCCTTTATTGTTGCTGAATAACTATTTCGCTGCCATTCAAGCTGTCTGAGGAAATTGTCAGATGACTCTCAAAGTGAAAAATGGAGAAGCAGAGGGTATAGATTACATTTTAAGTGAAAGGTCATGGATTGAACTGTGAGGCCACTGGAAGCATGGCTCAGCACACAAAAGTGGGTAACACTGACTTAATGAGAATGGTATGAGGAAACACACTGTCACCTTGGCTGGGGGAATGGATTTAATGTCTATTTAAATATGGGGTTAAATGTGCAGACATCCAGATAAGGTAAATAGATGGCCTCACATTTCTAATGAAGCTCAGATCTCCATTTGATTTCACAGTGATTTTCCTGGTCTTGTGTTCCTGGGAAATGCTCACGCATTCATATTTATTCATATGGGAGTGCACTAATATAACAGGATACATGTTTGGAGTCAAAGGCATGGTTTCTATGAAGTATTTTAGAGGTAAAAATACATAGTAATAAGTTTGAAAGTGAGCACGGAATTGATGTAATATTCAGCTAATCAAGGGTGTTATTTGAGGCATTGTCACTAGACATGCTATACGTCAAATAGACATATAAGGGCAATTTTATTCTCCAAAAGTGAACATCACCTAATACTATGTTTTTCTTTGGTCTTAGAAGACCTTCCAGCATTCATAGTGAAGAGACCCAGACCGACACTGTCCTAAACTGAAGCATCAATCACCAGTGCATATAGGTCAATGGTGTCATTAATAGCTCATAATCTAACACTAATTGCCCACTTTATTTTACGATCCAGGAGCCATGAGAAGAAAAGTTTTAATCAACACTTGTCAAATTAGCAATTCAGGCGTGTTTAATTTTTATATGCATGAAATAAAACATGTATATCAAAATAAAACATTCATCTGATCAAAGCATACATTTAATCTAAATAGTGTAGCATGTTACAGCTGGAAAAGTTTAAGGGGGAAAAAAAATCTACAATTACACAAGCATTGGTCATTGGCTTGCTTCTTCATCTGCCTGGCTTAGCCTTTCCTAATCATATTCACAATAGGGGTCTATTCTCCCATCAGGCGCTTAAGTCAATAAAGTGCTTAAAAAGTTATATGATTTTCCCCTTATCCGTACGGTAAAGCCCACTGTATGTAACCCAAAAAAGAAGGACGCAGCTGTGTAAGAAGTCTAATTAATTCATAAAGCAAGAAATTGGTTTATGCCCTCAATGATTTTGACAAGCAGAACGTGGAACTCAGACTGTTTATGTTATGAACCTATTCGAAATCTGCTGAAACCCTTTTATTCTGAAAATGACAGCATGGTGGTAGCCTGCTATGTCAGTATTCGGTCATTCTCATGAACACAAAAATCCTTCAACAAAAATTAAGTGTGTCAATGAAACACAGTTTTTAAATTTCGCACAAAGAAATTGACATTAGCTTAATTTATTTGATATATTAAAATCATGTCATTTGTAGTATTGCTCCCTCGACCATTTTCCCCAAACAGGCACAACTGTTGAAGTTTTAAGATCAAGCGACATAAAACTAGAATAAATATTTTTAAATCTTTCAAATTTATGGCATGTGACTCACAATAATCAATCATTCTTTATTTCTTCAATTTTCATTTCTTCTGCTCTGCAAATGATTAACCACCCCAAAGGCAAAATCAACATTTTAGACAATGAAACTGTATAACTCAAATCTGTCTTCAAACTAATTTTCATAATTTGAGAAAATTGACATGTTACGGTAATGAGTTTGAATGACCCATATTGTGTTTAAGAACGAATCTATATACTTTTTGGGCTTCAGCTTTATTTTCCCTCTTCATTAAGAACAATTTTGTAAACAAGCAGATATGCCTAAGCAATAGTTGTGGTGTGAATGGTAGTAGTATTTCTTAGATGGACTGAAAGTTTAGAATACATTGCTGATAAATTAATAATGCAATCGGTTGCACAATCCAAACAAGCTTATATGCTACAGAGTAGGATGCAAGGTATTATTCCAAACCAACTGCTCATCACTGGCACTAAAATCCCACACAGCTACACCATTAAGTGCAGAATGGTTACCAGTTAGGCAAATGTCCTGGTCAAGTAGTTCCTTTGGGGACCCTTGACCTAGTGTCTGTAGGGTGTATATGAACTACATGTTTGTGTAAATAAGAGCAAATCACGTCCCACATTGGTTCAGAATTATCCACCCAGAAACATGAGATTCATTCAGTGTCAGTTAGCTGACGTACATGAAGACAAGGGCTGAATATTCTGGTCGTCTCTGTCTGTCACACTCTCACCGGAGCATGAGTACATGCACAGTGGCTTATGCTGTGTTCCATTTGAACTCGGAAGTCGGAAGACTAGTTCCCAGTCAGAAATTTCAACTGGAATGCCCTCTGAAGTTGGAATAATGCTGCATTCCATTTACCTCGAAGGTCAGAAGTCGGAGCTGGGAATGATGTCACACCCAAGTTAATCATGTTCCAGTACCGCAAGTCAGAAAGTCAGTTAGCAATACCAGAGACCTATTTCATAAAGCAGGATTTCTTACCTAGACAGACAACTTCCTCATTCTTCACTTACTTACATTTAGCCCAGACTACTTCTAACAGATTATCTGTCTAAGCAAGAAACCCTGATTTCTGAAAGAGCCCCCAGGTCTAGCCAGGTCCATGGTTAGCCATTGTTAGCAATGTCAGTTGTTAACAACACATTAACTGGTATTTTGTGCACCAAAATGCCATAGCGAACATGTCCACAGATAGCAGTTGGACAATACTGTGTGTACGACTGATTTAATGAGCCACTAATATAAAGTGCTAATAAACAGTATATAACTGCAGCTTTAACTTCTGTTGATAAAGGGCGCAGCCATCTTGAATTTTGGGGTGGGGGTTGCAGAAGTCCTTCCAAATTTCCAAGTCGGAATTCCAACTTCAACAGGTGTTCCGGTTGAAATTTCCACGTAGGAACTCGGAAATTCTAACTTCAGAACTTAAATGGAACACCCTATAACTTGGGTGTGACATCATATCCAGCAAAGACGACTGCTGGCCTCCAAGGTAAATGGAATGCAGCATAAAGATTGCGAGGACACACTACTTCCGTTGAACCAATATTTTTTTTACTCATTTCGAATGAAACATTTTTTCTAATTGATTTGGCCTGTTGACAAGTCACATGAATCGAGTCTAATGGTAATATATTTGTATACACTAATATATTTCTGTATAGTATTGTTATATACTATATGGATTGTTTTGTTGCATGTTCATCTTTCTGCAATATTGTGTTTATCCATGGAGAGGAGTGTGACTTAATAGGGCCACACAGAGTGCCTACTGAAAAAAAGCAATTAAAAGCTGGCAGAATGGGTGCAAGGGTCACTTACATATGACACGCCCATATTTTAGTGTTTCTCCACCAAAAGTGCGTATCTGGCCTAAACGTGGGTAAACCCCAAACGTAAGTCATCAGGAGAATACACTTAAGTGAAAAAAGCTACACTGTTTCTTGACTTACGCACATGGGAGAATCAACCTCATACTTTCTTGTCAGGAGGTGGATATATATGTTATTAAAATACTAAATATTTCATTTCAATTGTCACTTTTCTGTACACCCCTAATGTAACATTTCAAGATTTCAATACAACATCAAACTTCATCTTCTTTTTCCCCTGCAGCTTCAAGCTGCATGTGATTTGTCAAATATTACACAGATGTCTCCTGTGCTTAAATTGCACAAGAAAATGAAGGTACACCGTTGTCTTCATTTTCAAGCTGATTATTGCGCTCATTATGTGTCACAATTAGGTCTCAATTAGGTCTCAAATATTACACAAACACAACACAGGTAACGGCTTTGGTGGTAGAAGGTCAGTTCTAAATTATTTGACTCGCTTCTGTTTCTTAGTCTCCTTTTTCTTTTTGCAAGTTCAGATGTCCTCCAAGGCTGGATGTACCTCCATCTTTATGTGTTCGGCTTGAGGTCAGCCTCTTTGCAGGTTTCCTTCCACCCTTCTACCTCCATAGACAAGGTGGAAACAGAAAGCTGAAAATCAGGGACTACGGGGTCTGGAAAGACAGTGGTGGACCCCACTAATCAGCATAGATGATAAACCCCGAAAAAGTGCTGTACTTGTTGTTGTTCCCTCCATGTGCTTTGCCCCCATCCAGTTTGATGTATATCTCATCTCCAGGCTCCAGGTGAAGGACCACACTGTTGCTAGCATAGTCGTAATTCTGGTCAGCATCCTGTGCAATGGCACTTGCCCGCACCTGAAAGACAGGTGGCAGCTCCAGTTAGGACCACAAAAAATACTCTTCAGATATCCAACACCAAGAAATCGCTGTAACACTACTAAATAATTAAGGAACGATCTAGTAGGCCTATAGTATTTCATTTAGAGGTAAAACGGAATATGCTCATTTTTGTAACGTGGCCAACATGAAACATTAACAACCAAATAAGTTTCAGCGTACATGAACAACCTATACTTTTTCATATTTACTAATTTTGTTTTTGATATAACTGATTACATTTCTCACAGCAGTTGTGTTAAAAGAAGCAACGATCGTAATTTAAGTATCATAAGTAGTCTTTCGTAATGTGAAAAGTGTCTAAACCACGACTTTTTCCGTGATAAACGGAAAGCTTTGCATGCGAGGATGATAATAAAGATCGCTGCTCAATTATAGCTGCACTACGGTATGATCTACGCTGTGAAACACAGCGCCTGTTCGTAACTTTCTGTGCAAGTGTGTTGAATCGTGGTCATTTGGATTGCTTATATTGTCCGTTATCAAGAAGGTAATGAAGTGAACCTGCATTGCAGTACAACCCAGACGTGGGAAATTCAACCTGCCCGAGAAATCGTATGAAATTGTCCTTCTTTCGTTTTTCTTGCATTATCAATCGTAGGTCCATTTTTGTGTACATTAACAAAATTAACAGTTTAAGTCAACCTAGGCTGACTTCTATAGTATTGTGATGTTTTATCCCCGGGATGCATAAAACTCGCTGTTTTCCCCCCAGGTTTTCCAGTTTAATTGATCAGAAAAGCATCTTACCAGACTTATTTACCAGCCTACTTACACATTTAGTGTAGCGCAATATTAGTAAAAGGAAAGACAATTTCTTACGATTTCTGGAGCAGGTTGAACTTCCAACGTCTGAGTTGGTTATATTGCAATTCAGCCCAAGTTGATAATTACCTTCTTGATAACGTATAATATATGGTAACTTTTTAAATAAAGTTATCCTATTAAAAGTTTTTTTTACTTTTTTTTCTTTGTAACAGTATTTCACTTGTATGTAGTCTCGGATACATAAATGTTCAACGCAAGAAAACGAATAGGATGATTATTATTAGGGGTCCAAGCCGCGTAGCTGCTGAATCATTATTCTTTTTATAATTTATATTATTGATTTTAAATTTCATAACTGCACCAGTAAAGTACACATAACAGCAAGAAGTACAATTTTATACTGTAAGTGCATTTCTGTGTCAGCTTTGCGTATTTTCCTCTTCCTTACCCGTATAATACAGGATTGCCAAATCTCACGCATCTGGCGTGACACACGTTTTCAGATTCTCACGTTCACGGAAGAAATCTTACGGCAAATTATATTATTCCATTTGGTTATAAACATAAAATTAGCTGCAATAAAACGTTAGGGTAGGTTGCAAACCCTAGAGACTATTTATGAGGTAATAAAACTGTCACTAACATGTAAATGCGTGTGCATGTGTCTGCAGACTCGTCTCGAATTGAAAATTTCAAGCCAGCCAGCTGGCCAAAGTGGGCAACCATACAAAGACCTAATAGGCTACCTCACTTACACACCGACCCCATCAGTCTTTGTTTTCTCCTTAAATAAGTTTGTCTGCTCTCTGTGTATATGATCTTACCCACTTGTTGAATGCCGTTTTTAATTACGAAGATCCCGACTTTCATTCTCAAATTATAATTTCATAGAGCTGTTAATATACAACTACATAGTAGGCCTATTTCCCTTTTTGCGGTAATTTTCCAACCAGCTGTAAATAGCAGCGGTAAAAATCTTGCAGTTTTAGCATATGAAAAGTTGTACTTTTTGCCATGGTGTCACCCCACGTCAAAATAATAAGTAGCCTATATCTATTATTTTATTTTCTAAGAGCATAGAATAGACTCGACGCGGTGGCGCCCCATAAAATAACTGGTCTCTGGCAGATACCCCAGTCATCTACAGGCGCCACTGCCTGGTTTTTCCTTACCTGGCTGTTCTTGCACAGGTCTGCCCACATGCTTGTTCCGTCTCCACCGCGCATCAAAACATGATAAACGAAGAAGTAAATCCCAGGAATGGAGCAGGTGAACTTCCCTGTGGTGGGGTCGTAATGATTGCCCAGGTTGGTAACAACGTCGTCAAATTTCAGCACCTCGTAACCTTCGTGCTGCTTCTTCAGACCCGCGTAAAAAGCGATCTTGGGGACAGTGTTATATGTGGCTGCGCTGATCGCCCCCGTGGGACCATTGATTCCCGGCGGCCCCGGTAATCCCGGGCGCCCGGGTTGTCCTTTCTCTCCAGGCGGTCCTGGAGGACCGGGCTTCCCCGGCTCACCGGGTGGACCCCTGGGACCAACTTTCCCCGACCTTCCCGGTTCCCCTTTAGGACCCTGAATGAACGTAGGTAAAGACTGGATGAGGCTATTATCCCGCACTGTATCTGCTGTGGCGGTGGTCGGGGATTTCGTTCCGTACGGATCGCACACCATCCGGCAGGTACCCAGCATCTCATAACGCGCAGAAGTTCCTGCAGAGTTGACCAAGACTGGGATCAGCACCACCAGCACCAAAACCATGACGACCCCTAAAACCCCAGCGGCGATCAGTCGCTTCCTGCCGACCAGCCTTGTCAGCGGAGGGTGATCCTCTTGTCTGCTTTTTGGCGAAATCTTGCTGGTTGTTGTAGAAACGTGAGGATAGAAAAAAACAAACACCGTGTTTTGGATCGTCACGGTAACTAACTTTTTGGACCAAGCCTCAATTTCCCCCTACTTTATATCAATATCCTAATATCTTAAATTCTTAAGATGATCTGTCCAAAAATCTCTATGTCCGCGCCTGGCAAAGCGATGAGATCTAATCCCTTTCGGGAAGCAGGGAGGGCATTTCTTAAAGCCCAGCTCTTTTTCATTGACTCAATACAACTTCGACTTCGCTGGGGAAAAAAAAAAATCAAGATTGATTGTTAGAGAAGCGCACGACTCATCTTGCATCTGAAACTGGATTCAATTGAGTGTCCGCGCTGGCAGGAGTTACACAGTGCGCCGGGGAGAGGGGGACGAGGGGGGAGTCAGAAACCTGTGTTATAAGACTGAAATATTAAGGGGCTTTTCATCAAACCCGTCGCTGTTTTTACATCTTGCTGGACTATTTCACTATAACACCTGTCCTGTAACGACACACAAGTATCAAAAGTTTGCGCGCACTGGGAGAGGTCTGATCAAATTAAGGCGTCGCAGTACGTGAATTACTGTTTGCATACCATGATATATTTTTCTTCTAATTAAATCAACTTAATTAAATTGCATTTTTATCTCTTTTTTTTTAAGCTGTCAGCCCAATATGAATGTAGTCTGTCTCGCCCGTTTGTATTTGAAGCATTGATGCTTTAGCATCCAGTTTTGAAGTAATATTTTTAGCACTGGATTTGTTTTAAAAAAATCATCATTCTTACGTATATCAGACAACAGCGCTCACTCGGATACATGGAATGACTCTTCAGGTAACCTGTAAGCCTGTAGATCCTAACATCTCCCCCATAGGGTTTTCCACTAGCGATCTCTGATCGAGGATGATGTGGACATAAATTGGGAAGCCGGCTTCAGTTTTCAGACTTTTTACTTACGGAAGTAATATTTTATTCAAATGATGGTAAAGAATGGCTAGCAAAGCGCAAAAAAATACAAGACCACACCAAAAAGACTGTAGATTCAAAATTATAGATTGAAAAACATAAGTGATTTGTAGCCAACAATTTTAAAGTTCACCAGTGCTTTCTTCTATGTATAGTAACTATACATTACGCCTTTAGTCTGTTTCTCAGTGAAATTACAGGCACATTATAACCATTTAGCAAGGAACAGCATCGATACAGGCACAGTTTCTTACATTAATTATCAGTTTTATTTTATGGTTTTGCGCCAAACCGTATTGATAATGTGCACTCACTGCAGCAATTCCAGCATTATGGATGTGACATTCACACTCATATATTGGCATATCTTTATGTAACCTCATGGGCTGAATATAAACAAATTCTCAAAATTGATATATTAATCCGCATGTTATGTATTATGGATGGGACATCAAACCGACAGACTGTCATGGGTGACTACAGATTTTCTACACATTCTGAATTTTAAAGACAATAGTGGAAATAATTAGCCTGCATGCGTAACATGAAAGCGACTTGACAAAAAAGTATACATCTGAAAATATGTGTTGTTTTGTACGGTGGTCGCAGAAAGTTTTGGGATGCTTGCTCAATTCTGTAAAAATAATAAAAATGTATTGATTTTATAACAAAAATAATTACTCTATTCATTTGTTTACAGAATATATATATATATCACATTAGAAACAACCAGTTTTAAAGTAAATCGTTCATTTCCAGTGGTAATAAACTGAAACCCAAATTGTAGTTCTGAAAATGCTGTTCTGATTTTAAAAGTTCATTGAAAACAGTCTCACTGGTGCTTTTTAATTATACAGTAAATGTTTGAAATAACATAAAACACCAAAACATTGTCTTTAGTATCCCTTTGGATACTTTTTTCTCAGAAAAAAGGGCAAAAATTAGTAACTTGAGGGTGCAGCCACAGTGACAAGCAAAGGTACAAATTTTTACCCCTTTTTTTACCCTGAGAGTGTACAATTGCAATAATTAGCAAAATGGCAAGAATAGAACTGAATGAGTCAGTCAAAAAAATTATGGCACTTAATAAAAGGAAAATGTCTGTGTGGAAAATATGTGCAGATATGATAAACATTGCTTGTCAAGGTACTTTTGTTTTGAAACCAGTAAATTTGCAACATAATTACAGGATTAAGCATCCATCCCGAAACTTTCTATGACCACTGTATATGAAACAAAAAGGGTGCAATTTTCTTTAAAGTACAGTAAAGGGTATGTTTTTTGCAAGCTTATTAATTCTAAGTAGGCCTACTTTGTTGTCCGTCCATTTTCTTAAACCACTTAATCCCAACTGGGGTTGCCTGCCTATCCTGGGAACAATGGACATAGATGGGAACCAACCCTGGGCAGACGGCAGCACATCGCAGGGTGCACACACTCACAGAACTACAGGGCCAATTTAAATACTGTGGGAGGAAACGAGAGCCACCCGGCGAAAACACACACGAACACCAGGAGAGCGTGCAAACTCCACACAGAAAGGACCCGGGACCGAGCCCAGGACCTTCTTGTTGTGAGACAGCAGCGCTAACTTATAGCATTCGGGGCAGCATGTGGCTGAGTGGGCTAAGCCTGTGTGCCTGTAATCACAAGGTCACTAGTTCAAACCCAGCCTCAGCACATCTGCAGGTCCATGAGCAAGGCCCTTAACCCCCAGCTCCCCTGGGTGCCCCAACAGGTGGCTGCTCTTCGCAAACAGAAAGTTGAGGGGGGCATAAAAAGACAATTTCCCCATGGGGGTCAATGAAGTATCAATTATTAACCACTGTGCTACCCAGACTTTGTTGTCTATACTCAAGGTTTTCCAACACTTTTGGATTGGGAGCTTATAAACAGTGTTAATTTTGCTGATGGAAATTAAGATGAAAATTGCTCGTTAACAAAGATTGTTAATTGACGAAAATGAGATGAAAATAAAACCTTGAGTTTTCTTTGTTTTAATTATAACATAAATGAATATGGGGCATATGCAAGGATTTTCTTTTAGATAAAATTTTGTTTTTATTTATATTTTATTTAATTATAAAGTTCATATAACCATTTGGAATTACTGCCGTGTTTCACATTCCAATCTTTACAACAGTTCCTTTTGTGAACATGTTTTGTTTCTAGGTCTGCTCCCTATGCTACCTGCTTCCCAGTCCTTTCTTGTTCCTTACTTTGTTTGGTGTCTAGTTGATTCCTTATTTTTCCCAGCTTGTTTTTGTCCCCTTGTGCTCTTTCGTAGTTTTCCCCTTTATCCCTTTTCTTTAATAAAACATTTTGTCTTGGAGCCGAAAGTGGATCATCATATTTTTCCTGCCTGTAACCATGCCGCGCCGTGACACTTACCATTTCTTGTTTGTCCTGCATGTCTATATTATAGAAACTTCCAATGACCCTGTCCTTCCCTTTTGTAGAACCTAGGCTTTGGACCACTGTTCCTTCTCCTACATCATTAGCTCGTATATTTCTGCAGCTGTTCTGCAGGTACAGTCATGTGCGTTTCAGTAAAAGACGGGCCGCATGAGATTATAATGGAGCCGGATAAGATTATAATGGAGTTGTAGCTGTTGTAACATTGTAGCTCAGTGCATTACTCATGTGTTTGTGATGATACTTGTGTAACCCAAACCTACTGTGCTGCCAGTCATATAAAAGTATAACACATAAAATTATGTACAGCGTATATAATACTTGGTAATAAACTGTGTTTACTATATTGTGCTTCTTATCATTATTGAGGCTATACCATATAGCCTAGGTGTCTAGTAGTCTGTACCATCTAGGTACAGTCTGTGATGATCACACAATTATGAAAGCGCCTAACAATGCATTTCTCAGGACGTCTTCCTGAGGCTAAGCGACGCATGACTGCATGCCAACAAAATGTTTAGGTGAGCTGATGTCTCAGAATTGCCTGTAGCATGTCTACCCTGTGATGGACTGCAGTTGCAACGAGGTGTGGCCACCCTTATGCCCTAGTTGGTATAGGCTGCACCCTTATGCCCTAGCTGGTATAGGCTGCACCCTTATGCCGTAGCTGGTATAGGCTGCACCCTTATGCCCTAGCTGGTATAGGCTGTAAGCCTTTTGTGAAATTGTAGGCATAAGGTATTATATATGAAGCGTGGGTGAATAACCTTGCTAATGACCTTCAAGAAAGTGAGAATAACTATCGCGAAAATGAGAATGATCTTTTATTAATGGCAGGATTAAATCATATCGTTGTGCCAAAGTAGTGAAGGGATCGCTTTATAAATTAGCTGAATTATCAGCAGTGAAAGCTTTAGTTTCCAGTATCTTGTTGAAAACGGTAGTCACTGAGCGCTCGTTCATTCTTGGGGCTGTAGCAGGGTGTTGGTGAGCAGTCTTGACCCACCAGGGACAATCCATCCATCATCGCATAAATCACGCAATAAAATCAATGGGGACTGTGAGTTAGGGACTTATTGTGTCTTTGAGATGGAAAAACCTAGAGAAGAAAAATCATTGAAAGATGCAGACCAAAGAGTTTGTGACATTCAACTTTTGGACTCAGCTGTAAATCTTGAAGTAATTGTGACTAACAGGGTCATTTTAAATAGTCATTTTAAAAAGTTCAATGTCCTTCATCACCAATCAGTAAATATTGTCACACAGCTTCTAAAATAATATTTTAAGACAAACAAAGCACTTTAAGAGATTACATGTTTATAATGAATACGATGGGTTAGAGGTTCACAGAGTACAAACAACATCTCAGGACTCATTTGGCCCTTCTTAATTGCAGGGAAAAATGCCTTTACTATATGTGGGAGAAAAGAATAACAAGGAAAGAGGATTTTTATAGAATTTATCACCTGTTGCAGTCTACTATCTCAGTCTAATCTTTGATTTCAAACTACTCAGTTCTGGAGTCATCCCGTTTAATCGTTTACGTACCAAAAATATTCTGATGTACCCTGCCTTGTCATTTTTACTTCTTAGATTAATTGCCAAGCTCAATGTCACCTTGTACTGGACAATCAGTTACAGAAAATTAGGCTTATGGATGGAAAATAGTATTGTTTAAAAACAGTAAAGTAACAAAAACAGCAATATACAGAGCCATAGAACTAAAAATGGTCTAGTCCTCTAAAATGTATACAATTGTTTCGTTATTGTCAGTTTGAAAGCTACACAAGTTCAACAACAATATTTTTGTAACGCTGAATCATCGGGGGTTAGTGATCCAGACGCAGAGCAAACAGTGACCAGAGACGAGTGACGACAATCAAATTCAGAGGTATGAGCTGGGGTCAGTGAGCCAGGTCGCTCAGATTGGGGTTCTGGGGGAAAGTCAGGTGCACGTGCAGACATGGCAAAGCAGGGATGCACATTTGTACCACGAGATGGATCGAGAAAAGTGTCCATCGGGCAGGGCGTCATAAATAAGAAGCACGCCGAAGCACGCCGGAGGTGATTCAACCACTCGAGAAAGATTGGGGAGATAGCGTGATACTCAATAATTGCACATGTCGATTCCTCACACTGAGAAACCTGGTCAGACTGGTTATATGGGCGAGGTAATTACAGTGAGCAATTGGGAATGAAGTGCAGTGGTCAGTGCTCAGGGGAGAGGGGTCAGAAAAGGGGGCGCAGTGCAGGCAGCAAATCTGAACTGAGCTTTACAGTTTTATATCGATATCTTACTATTTAGCCCCTAAATATTTTATCCATGCACCATGTGTGTAATATATGTAATGTCTGTAATCCATGTATGTATTGAAATGGTTTCATAACAGGCGCACCTTGAAGAAAATTGTAAATATGCAGCTGTGTAGTCTTGGTGGTGACATGATTAAAGCAATATCTTTCGCCTTAAAACAATATTTTTCGACTGCGCCCTAAAGTTTGCCTCCAACTAAGGAGATGTCAGCAGTAGTAATATCTCCTTAGGAAGCTCAACAGCTTTGGGGTCAACAAGGTCATACTCAGAACCTTCTAGTACTCCTTCATTGAGAGTGTCCTCTGTTTTTCCATCGCCTGCATAACGGAGTGAAAGATCGTCGGACTCCCGGTCAGAGCACTTTCATCCCTGAGTGAGCAGCAAACTCTGAGAACGGCGTGTAGGATTCTGCAGGATCCCTCCCATGCTCCGTTCCCGGAGTTTGAGCGGTTCCCCTCAGGACGACGGCTCTGCTGACCCGGCCGCAGGACACAGAGGAGAAGAGCAACTTTTGTTCCCAGGGCCGTTCAACTCAGGCGCGCAGTTAGCACCAGGGACAGATGGGATGGGTCCCCTTCAGATTCAGAGTGACCTCGATCCGTCCCCCCCACTTACAGGAGAAAAAAACAGCATGTGCCGTCTTTGCATAAGGATAAAATATCCTTGGTCCCCCCCAATTCAAAGATCCTATCTGCGCCACTGGTTCAACTACTCAACTCACAGACTCCCCCCCACCCCGCGTCTCCCTGCACTGGATCCCGTCATTCATTCTGCACTTGACTAACAATCCCTCTTTTTTACATATTTATTCAGTTCCCATCTACCAGATTGACTGCAATTTTGCACAGAACCTTCTAAACACTGTTATCAATGCTGCACTTTACGTCACTGTGTGTTTGTTCAACTGCCCTGTGTGTCTTAATTGCCACTCGGAGACAAATAAAGTTTTTTGAATTGAACTGAATTGAAGCGAATATCTAGTTTTTTTCCTAATATCTATGCACAAGCCATTTTACCCCTATTTAAGCTGATCATTACTTTGGTGGCTTCACTTTCCCCAAAAGAACTGGTTATAGTTATAGGTACAACTCATTAGTATATAAAGTTGCTACTCACTGCCACTCTGTGTAGCCCAAGTACTTACTCTGTTGCATGGTAATACCAGGTCTAGATAATTGGTTATAGAGGAGTGTTATCGCAATTTCTTGACCTGATTTTGCTTACGCCCCAAAATTAGTTCTTGCCAATCCTTCCTTGCAAACGTAGAGATTTTCTGATGGAATACAGAAGACTCTAGTTAGTGTTTTTGGAAATGGATAAGCAGAATTTGAAGGCATGGGCTTTTTAAGCATCAAAACCAGCAGGCTTTGACCCTCCTAAGGTTATTTAAGAGCATATGCAGTTGTAGACTGATAATCACTGTATACTCAGTGAGTCACCCGTTCACACTCCTCCTACTGCTTTTCATATCTCTTGACTACGAAATATCATATCTTCCCATATATAACTCCTAATCCATATCTTCTGCATATCTGGTTCCTAACCAGCACGTCTTAGCATTTAAAACTTCAAAAATCTTCTCATGACTGCTCTTTCACACATGCATTTAATACCATGTATAGTCATAGAAACAGTTATAATTCCTCTATGGAAAAAAACTAAAATGGTATAGATATCAAATTTTCATATTGTTGGCTAGTTTTGTTACAGGTTTAAATAGTGAATGAAATCGTTTACAACTCACAAGTAATGTGAATGCAGCAGCTTTTCTTACTGATATTTACACTATGCTAACTAAAAATGTCTCTGCAAAGAGGCACAAACTGCAGGCATCAGGGGCCTCATTTATAAAGGCTTTGTACGAACAAAATAGCTGTGAAACATTTGTACGCACATTTATAAGATTTTTAGATTTATGAAGGCACAAGGCAAACAAAATAAACCCTGAAAGTCTGCACATTTACGAATGGTTCAGAGCAGTCATACAAATGTTTTGGAGGAAACAGGATGACATCAAGGTCAGACAGAAATATGCAATTAATAAGTTGCATTTAGTTTCAGAGCTTTGTAAATATTGCGTCTTACAGAATAGACCTACAGAAACGTTTTTTATTATATCTGATATACAACTAATATTCAGCATTTGTTTTATTGTTATATATACCAATATATTTATTGTATGGAATCTAAGTTAGATGTGTATATACTGAAAAGTCAAAGTAACCCCTAAACATTTGTGGCTCCAGTTAGTCGTGCTTTGGCCATGAACAATGAAACAGGAATATTTCTGGAGCTTGCAGAAAGATCTCAGAAACTCAAGAGGACATGTGAGCCAAAAAAATACTTGAAATGATTTGGATCATATAAAAGCATATAATTTAAATATTCATAATACATAGCCTGATATTTGTTTTGTAAGTCCATGCTAAATCTTTAATTTTAAAAGTCTTGCCTTGGGTACACCATGCATCTCAGCGACTAGTCCCATTCACGTGTTATCTGTTTTTTAAACTACAGTATTCATTTTTTCAAACTTTTCACAATTGTGCATTTTTAGTAATGGATCCGAAGTTTAGTCTCCCATTGCGTACAGTAGTAACTTTGTACGTAATTTATATGGTTTGCATAGGTATTATATTAAAAAATCTAGTTAGTACTACTTAGTAGCATTTCACATGCAAAGTGTAAAAGACAATAAATCGTTTTTTTATGTTATCATTCAGGCTGGCAGACCTATGAGTTGAGGTTAGGGATGCCCAAGTAATATTCACAAATTTTCACATTCACGGGGATGTTCAATCTGCCCCAAACACTTACGAATGTGAAGGTATTCCCCCATTTTACCAGGTACATAGAGAACAGGAATATACCAGTTCAACGGATTATAAATCTGGCCTTTTTAATACATATTTCTTTATCCGGCATTTTAAATGAACCGCATTAATATCGGCCGTCACATGCTACCAGTGGGGTTTTTCATACCGGTAGATGTACTACCAGATAAAATGGTTTGACATTTTTTTACTTGGGACACTATAAACTATGCACTACACTTTCAGGAAAGCTTCACTTCCTTCTTCTGGTTGCTTTCTCTGTTTTTGCAAACACAGCACCGCGATGTAGAATATAAGTGGTTATGTACATGTGGCTAATTTGCGTTGCAAATGTGGGGTTATTGCTGGGTGGGAACTACACAGCCTCTAATGCGCGATCGCGTGCAAATTCGTATCACGGATTACGCAAAGTATTATAAATCAGACTTTTACTTTTCATATGAAGGGCAAGTTTTCGTACGAACGATTCCTCTCCCTCAAGGATTTACAAACATTCTTCATATATGAGGCCCCACATCTGTATCTCACACTCCTTTCGTTTCAGGTGGCCAGGGTCTTGCAGCTGGTCTTCTTAGACTCGTTGCTGTTCATTTCTGGTGGCTCAAGGCTAGACTGCATGTGTCTGTCATACATGCTGCAAGGGAAAGGAAAGGAAGATGAGCTGACAATGTTCTCACCCACCAGCCAATGAAATGGGCACCCCCATGACCCCCCAGCCAATTATTACGCTTCTACCAAGTAGAACTTTCCTAATTAACATAAAACAATTTCAATTGACAAGATGAATCCTGAGACACATGAATGAATGAGATAAGCACAGTCCAAACTATCAACCACTCAAATCAATTATGGGATACCATACAGGAGCATATTATCTTCAACTGAACTGTAACAGTAACTGTAGATTGTAGACGAAGAGCATGCAAAGCACCTCTTTCACACCAATGGGCTCAGTGTGGACATCTTACCAGGCTCCCCCTGGAATATCAGCATAAACACATGCAGGCAAATAGGCCATCAATCAGTCTGAAAGGCAACAAGGCTCCACGAGCCAATTACTCTACATGGGCAGCCCTCAGGGGGCCAGACGAAAGATAAGTGGAGAAGGAGTGATGCTTTCCAGGCCGACATTCATGCCCTCTGCAGAGTCACCCAGGGGGCTAATGAAGTGACAAACAGGGAACGAGAGAGAAGTCTGCCTGCCATCCTGCATTGTGATCAATGCACCAGGCCAAGCGACATAGCGCTCATAAGCAATGCTGATTAAACGTCGACAAAGCGGCCTGTGATCTTGGTGGCCTGTGATCTTGGCGGCTAGAGCCGGAGATCAAAATGACCAGCAGGTGGTCAATGAGAGCAAATTCACAGACCCTACTCATCATTCAAGTTTAGCATTCGAAAAATATTTCTGATTACTGATTATTGGAATGTTCAAGTTCAGGATTAGGTTAATGGGTAGTGATCAGTGGCAATGAAATATCTGACAAAAGACGAGGACTTTTAGATATAAGAGGGGAAACCAACTTCAGGGAAGACAAGCGCACAACCACAATTGTACAAATTCCCTTATATGCTGTAGTTCAGCAGCATATAATGTAAGATCTCACAAATAATGCTGGATGCTTCACAGTAACTGTGTTGATATATTCTGCACTTTCTAGAATGCACAGGGCATCGCTGTCTAACACCCAACTAACACAAACCATACTGCACGTTTTCTCAAAAATCATACCATTCAAAAGCTTGGACACACCTACCCATATAAAGGTTTATTTGTATTATTCTCTACATTTTAGAATTATAAGGACATTAAAACTATAAAATAACATATATGGAATTATGCACTGGCCGAAAAAGTATTAAAGAAATTAATTATTTGGGTGGGGTTGCAGCTCTGTGGGTTGGGAAGCAGAATGTTGCTGGTTCAAAACCCTGGGTTGGCAGAGTGATTCCACCATTGGGCCCTTGAGCAAGGTCCTTAACCCCTATTAATCCAGGGACTGGCTGACCCTAATTTCTCCTCTACTCCAGTTTCATGAGGTGGCCTCCTGGGATGCTTCTCCAGCTCTCCTGAAGGAGGTCCCACATATGCTGAGCATTCATTGACTACTTTTCCTTCAATCTCTGGTCAGACTCCTCCAAAACCATTTCTGTGTTTAGGTCAGGTGTCCAGGTCATGTGATGCAACACTTTAGATCTCCGTTGTAGGCAGCTTGACATGTCCCAAGCATTGGCTGGTACAGTATATGAAGTCTCTGTTTAGGATTTATTTGTACTCTCATTCCCTGGAATGTAAGGTTCCCTAAATGTGAGACCCCAAAAAGAAGCTTAAGACTGACCTGTGACACACAGGGGCTGTCAGTCCCATACTATATCACAGAATCATTGGTTAGGAGAAGCTATCCATTGTTTGTGTAAACACTGCGATGGACTATTCCAACAACAGTCACCTTTACGCTCTGTGCTTTTTAATACATATGCCTATCCATCTCAGTCTTCCTAAACAGCATGTGTAACCATGGAAAAAAACCTGGAATAGAACAGGAGGGATATTAAAAACCCACACATGTTGATCTGGATGGTTTGAGTGAAGGTATGATGCAGTGAACAGTGTACACAGCGCTAAGCACATTCATTTGTAGGCCAGCCAACATTTGTTTGTGAAACCAGATCAGTAAGTTCTTTTTTATGGATTCTCGGGAATCTCAGATTTTGTGGTGATGTCTGGTGTCAACAACCAGAAGAGATCCGATGGCCGAGCCTATGATTTTTAAGGGGGGGGGGGGGGTTGATGGGGTGGGCACAGGTGGGAAGCAGTGGTAGGGAAATGGGAGAAGTTGTCACCCGGGGGAAGTGGCAACAGTAAAAACTGTTGATCTCTTTTCTATTTACCCATATTTGCGTGATTATTTTTGGTGGGGCACAGGTGATTTTTTTTTTCGGGGGGGGGGAGGGGTAGCCCCTCTGTGGTGCCAACTCTGGTAAATAACTTTAGTAAATACCCCAAAATAGCCAGCAACTTGGTTCTCAACCAGTATGGCAATTCTAATCTGTTTGGCTTCAGGCCTACTGTTCTACTGTCTCTGATCACTTGCCTCTCAGAAAAATCGACAAAAATCCACAAAGAGTGACATGAAGCACCAGGAAAGCAGTGGAAAAATGGCACATACTCAGCGTGACTGCAGAACACAAGAGCAACACTATGGATTCCATGGCAACCGACGCTGATGCAGCCTGTCCGAGAGCAGGCCAAAAAGCCTGGCCGAGTGCTGCCCGGACATACTTCAGAGGTGGGGGGGGGATTACTCATCCTGTCAATATGCGCAAGCCGCCGTTCACGCTGTCATAACAATCTGAGCTGCCTGCATAATTGCACCTCTACCGTCCTGATGGATGGTACAGCAGTTAAAAAATCTTTAGTCTGTCATGCCGATAGAGAGGGGAAAAAAAAACAAATCAATCTGGGGGGAAGAAAACTCAATTCACAAAAATTAACGATGAGGCGGCAACTTAGAGGTTGAAAAACAAAAGTGAACATTGCAAAAAGGCACCGATTTTGTAGAGCATTTAATGGCATATAAACATGTACATGTCATTAAATCATTTCATCTTCAGTTTTTTCAATGAACTGTGTCTTTGTATTTTCCCAAGCAGTTCCTTTGCAATCTAGCCACCTGGAAAGCCATACCGACCCTCACTGTAAGTATAGGACTCCAGGACCATGAACGCAATGGTGCTTTGGGACTAATGCCTTACCCTGGTCATGCGTGGTAGTTTCAGATACTTCAGATAACCACAGAAGGCAAAGAGTCGAGTTCTAATTACTCACAAGAATCCTATACATTGTATACTTACAATTAAAGGACTTGTGAAATATCTCTGCCTAGAAATAGTGACAGAGCACTGGTCACAACACAAGGTACCGACACCCTGGAAGGGTTTTAGCACCACAAGGTCAGACAGCGACCGCTCCCTCTCAATCGACCTGGCCAATTAAACAGAATCCCCAATGGAACCTGGAACGGGACTGGAACCTCGACAGTCTCTCCTAGCTGCACCCAGAGAGACAGGGAGGCCACATTTAAATGCTGGCCTCACCTAGGGCAAGGAGACAATCGGGAGACTGACTTGTGCTGATGGACTGGGACAAAGTTGACTCTGAAAATGAGGAGAAGATTTGCCGCTGGTCCGGGCGTCGTGGGGAGCTGGGCCAGTGGACCTCAGCACCCCACCCCTCTACTGCCTAACCCAGTATGTTTCCACACCTTGTAATTAAAATGCACATTAAACACACAAAGAAGGCCCATTGACCTCAGAGTGTCCACAGTCCCTGTCCTGCGCCACAATATGCTCTTTTAACTGTATTTCTGAAGAAAACCAAAACTTGCATGATAACTCTTTTATGCATCACTCCTCAAAATGACAACCCAGTGAAAGAAACTCCAATGTTTTTTTTGTATCTCTAAAGCTGATCTCTTCCCTAGTTCCACATGATACCATCAGTGGATACCCATGTATGATCTACAACCACATTCATAATAGTTAAGGATAAAAGATTCAGATGATACTGAAGGAAGCTGAGTGATGGAGGAAGGTGTTGGGTGAGACTAGCAGAATGTAGCCTTTGCAAGGCAAAAGCAAAAATCGGTAACACTTTACTTGAAGCAGTCTACATAAGGGTGACATGTAACCGTCATAAGAATGACATAAGAATGACATGACACATGTCATGCACATTAATGACACATCATTGATGTTTATGACTGTGTCATTCAATTCCAAAAACCGAATGACACATTATGACAACAGTCATAAACATCAATAATGTGTCATTAATGTGCATGACATGTGTCATGTCATTCTTATGATGGTTACATGTCACCCTTATGTAGACTGCTTCAAGTAAAGTGTTGCCCAAAAATCTTTCTGGTTAACTTGGTTTACAATTGTTTTACAATTCTGGGCATGGCTAATGTCCATAGACTTGCAGGTACATCTGCTGTCCTTGTGAAGCTTCTGCAATATAGGTTGACATTAATGTGCATAAACACATTCCAGTTATGCCAAAGCATTAGGGCAGGGTTATTCAAATCACGGTCCTCGAGGTCCGAGCACTGCTGGTGTTCCAGCCTTCCTTTACCTGTCAGTCAGGTGTGAAGCCTCTGACCAATCAGAATCAGTAATTATTAAACTAACTACCTGGGAGAACTGAAAACAAGGCCTGGATTTGGAATCGAGGTCCAGATTTGAAGGGCTTGGTTCATACATGTGAGAAACGATAATTGTTTGCCAGCTGAGTCAGCTTTGTTATTTAATAAGTTCAATGAGCTGAAACTGAACAAGCAGCCATAGAATCAGTGTGACTGTATTCGTAAACATGGAGGAGAGATTTTGGTGACCTGCATGACAGACTGAAAGGGTAGCAAAAACTTAAATTCCGTTGGTTGTTCTAGCCTGTTGCCCCTTTTCTCATTTACTCCTGCTTTGCATGCAGTGGAATCTTGCATAATGAAGTAAGGTTCACTCAAGAAAATATCTCACCCCTTTTTGTAATTCAGGACAGATATCAGGGGAAAAAAAAAACAAAATATGGGACTGGAAACTGCATTTGTAAATGGGGCCATAGCTAAGAAT